ATGGCCGGGCATAATCTAGAGTGGCTGCCAGGAGGGAAGCCAAGCTAGGGACATTCTCACAATGCCAGGACCCAGCTGCGGCCACAGCTGTAGCAGGTGCATGGTGGAGCTCCATTCCCTCATGTAACACACACACACACACACACACACACACAGAGGCAGCTATCACGGCCTCTGTGTTTGACAAGGGAGCTGTGCTCTAAAGCAGAAGCAATGTGCAAGCTCAAGCTGAGCCCCCAGCCTCGGAGCCAATCGTACAAGACAATGCTCCCACAGAGAGAGAATAGATCTGAGGTTCTAAAATATATCCCACACATAGATGCCATAGCTCCTGAAATGTCAACATTAAAAATCTACTTCTCATGGATAAAGTATCAGTTTTAGCAGCTTTTAAAATATGCAGACACACCTCAGAGGGGTAGAGCACTAAGATACTGATCACTATCACTCCAGTGTGAATTAGTCCACGAGTTCACTGTCTTTCTTATTAGCAACTGTTCCTAGAGAGAGGAGATCACTGGGTATCTTACTGGAGTAAGAGACAGTTAAAGGCAGAGAGCAAGAAGGACTAATTTAAAGGGGAGGTGGGATTACCAAAGAGGAACTCGGCCAGCCTCACAATTTTATCCAGGGGCCCCTCTAAAAGGAATACTATTGCAATGACCTGGTAAGAACTCACCGCTAGTGATATTTGGCATTCCTTTCTTATCACTAACACTAATAAATTAATGTAATGAGAACATCCATATGGATTCCAGTCCTAGGGTTCTAATGTTACAATTTAAGACAGAACCTTGATACAATTCAGTCCTTGAAAAGTGGCATAACTCTTAAAAAAAGGAAGTCACATAATGACACCTGGTCTACTGTGCACAGCCACACTCCATCGGTCCCGTGTAACTTACTGCAGAAAGATAGTTCAACACATTGAGAATCTCACCCACTCCTTGCTCTGCCTCTTCTCTCACGGCTGGGTTTGTCTCTACCATGGTTTTGCCCATGTTTCATGTGCTGTGAGAATGTTCTAGCAACAGTGTTCTGTAATACCACATTATATTTTATTTGAGCTATCAACAGACTCCTTTTTCTCACAAATCCTCTACGTACAAGATACCAAGCAAAACAAAAAGGTCTTTGAGCTGACCAAACCGTAATCTGGAGAGCTTTTTCATGTCCAAGTATCCCACATATCTGCTAATTTCAATATTGGAGCAAAAAGATACGATGCAACAATTGAGACAACAGATGGAAAAATTAAACATTAACATTAAAACAACTCTCCCACATGAATAACGGTCAGCGGAGAGGAGAGAAAACCAATTTTCAAAGGTGTCACCAATTTGCAAAATGCCAACACCAAAAGGACAAACCATTAAGCCACATGTTTAAAAGTCTTCACAGGATTTTAGTAATGGTAGAGTGGCTTTTAATAGACTAACCCTCCCACCACAAACAATTAAAACCTCTAGAAATATATTTTAAAACAATTAGTTGAAAACACTGGAGAGCACCCAAAAAAAGGACAGAAATTGGAGGGAATCTGACACTTGAAAGAAGGGAATTGTGCTGGTCAAGATCCATATTTATAGGCCATCTCCCAAGGTTATATTCCCCAGGCTGCACAGGGTTGAGTGAAAAGAATTCAAGCAGAAAACTATAGTTTTACTGGCTTGAAGAGTGAAATGACAAGATTCAGGACTAACAGATGACTGGAAATTGAGCAGAGAAATCCTGGAAAAGATATGGCCACAGAGAGAAGAATCCCCCAATCTATAAACTCCTCAAATCTGTGCATACACAAGAGACACTCAGAGAAGTCCACCAAAAGCAGTAACGAGAAGGCTGAGAGAAAGGAGTTGAGATGTCTGCTGCTTCCCACTGTAGGAGAGAGAGTTTGAAGGCCAAGTCCCACAATGTTAAGAGGACTTCAAACACCTTAGGCTTTCCACTGAAGCCCCAACTTGGTTATGTCTTACGAATGAACACGATGTCTCAGGACTATGGAATCTGTCCAAGAATTAAGGGGAAAAAGTAAAAAACAAAACAAAACAAAAAAACCCCACTCTCAAAAGCCTTCACAATTTTAAGGTGATAGCCAGTAATTTAGCTGCTTGCTGGGGAAAAAAAAAGAACAAAGGAGAAAAACCATACGCTCATGTCCATGATAAAGACAGAGCCCTTGCCAAAATTTAACAGTCACTGTTGATTAAAAAGAAAGAAAGAAAGAAAAGAAAAACTAAACCTATCAGAAAACTAGGACTTGAAAGAATTTCCTTGATTGTGATGAAAAGTATATACAAAGTGCACACAGCTAACATCACACTTACTAGGGAAAGACTAAATTCTTTCCTCCTAGAACTAGTTATGAGACAAGGAGGTCTGTCCTCAAGGCCTCCGGGCACAATAAGACATGAAAAGGAAATAAAAGCCATAAATATTAGAAAAGAAAAAGAAAACTGCCTTATTCATAGACAACATAATTATTTACAGAGAAAATACTGAGATATCTACAAAAAAAAAAAAAAAGAAAAGAAAGAAAAACTACTAGAACTAATAAATGAAATTTATTAAGGTCATAGGATGCAAAATCAAGAAAAAATTCTTTTCTATATACTGTTACCAATTTCCAAAATAAATATTTTAAAATGCCATTTATAACAGCAACAAGAGTTTAAAATACTTAGGAATACGTTTTTTAAAATATGTGCAAGATCTCTATATTGAAGATTATATAGAATTGCTAGTATTGATATGGATAACACACATTAGAGATCATCTGTAAATGGAGAAATATACCAAGTTTATGGATTTGAAGATGTTCACGATTGTTAAGATGTCAGCTCTCCTCAAATTGATGGATAGATTCAATACAACTTCAATTCAAAATTTAGGTTTTTGTGTGGAAATTGATAAGCTGACTCTAAAATAGACATCAAAATTTAAAATATGGAGAATAGTCAAACAAATAAAAAGAATGCATTTGGAAGACTCTCACTATTTAGCCTTAAGACTTATTACAAAGCAAAAGCAATGAAGATGGTGTGTTATTGGCATAAAGACAGACAAATGGATCAACAGAACAAAATAGACAGTTCATAAATAGATCCACAGTAGGGTCAATTGATCAGTGACAAAGGTTCCAAGAAAAAAGAAAGTCTTCAAGAAATGGTAGGGAGCAGAACAACTGGATTATAGCATAGGGAAAAGAAATCTCAACCCCTCCACACACAAATATTAATTTAAGAAGGAACACAGACCTAAATATAACATAACACAGACCTAAACATAAAAGCCTGTAATCTTCTAAAGGAAAATAGGACAATATTTTTTTTTTTTTTTTTTTCATTTGACAGAGATAGACACAGCGAGAGAGGGAACACAAGCAGGGGGAGTGGGAGAGGGAGAAGCAGGCCTCCCGCAGAGCGAGGAGCCCGATGCGGGGCTCGATCCCAGGACTCTGAGACCATGACCTGAGCCGAAGGCAGACACTTAACGACTGAGCCACCCAGGCGCCCCAAAATAGGACAATATTACGGTGACCCTATGACAGGTTTCTTATAGAGGATACAAAATGTATAAACTATGAAAGAAGAGATTGATAAACTGGATTTCAGAGATATTTAAAACTTCTGCTCAAAGACACCATTAAGAAAGTGAAGAGGCAAGACACACACTGGGAGAACATATTCATAATACAAATGTCTCACAAAGGATGCTTATCTAGAAAACATAACCATAAATCAGTAACAAAAAGACAAACCAAATTTCAGAAAACAAAAAGACCTGAACTGGCACTTGGGAAGAAAATGACCAATAAGCACATGAAAAAGTATTCAACACCAGGGAAATGCAAATTAAAACCACAAGATATCACTTTATACCCATTAGACTGTCTAAAATTAAAGAGAAAGACCATACCAAGTGTTGGGGAGGATATGGAATAATCGGAACACTCATACATTGCTGGTGGGAGTATAAAAATACAACCACTTTAGAAAAACATTTGAGAGTTTCTTATAAAGTTGAACATACATTTCCTCTATTACCCAGCAACTCCAGGACTACGAATCTACCCAAGAGAAAGGAAAGTGTACTTCGATAAAAATGTATGTATGAGCATGCATATAGCAGCATTATTCATAATGACTCCAAATGTCCATCAAGAAGAGAATGGGTATGTAATGGAATAGGATGCTGATGCACACAATGACATGAGTGGATCTCACCAAAATTATGCTGTGCACAAGAAATCAGACACAAGAGAGAACATACTACATAGTTCCATTTATATGAGCTTCCAGAACAGACAAAACTAATCTATGGTGAAAAAAAATAAAACAAAACATCCCATTTATTGCCTCTGGCAGCAGGAGACTGACTGGGAAAGGACACAAGGGAACTTTCAGAGTGGTGGAAATGTTCTTTATCTTGGATCAGGGTGCTGATGACGTGGCCGCATGCATTTGCCAAAACTCAAATTCCTCACTTCTGATCTGTTCGTTTCACTGTATATACATTTTACCTCAAATTTGTTTTAAAAAATTAGGGAGTGGGAGGTGGGGGTGGCACCAGGGGAAGAGGAATAGAATCCCTTAAAAAGCAGGATGAGATAAAGATTATAAGAAAGAGAATCTGATCCTTAAATTTTTTAAGACATTCAGGGCAAACTGAAAAGTTGGCCCCCAAACCAAAAATCTATAATACAACTTGATAGACATGAACAAAAAGAGACAAGAACCAATTCAGCTAAGATGATGATGAAGAAAATAAAACTCAGTATGTCAAACAAATAATGAGATTGCCAGATTTAGCAAATATATTTAATCTGGCAATCCAAACCAATAGATCATTAGAAACTAAATACCGGCCAACCCAACATAAAACAATTTTTAAAGCATCTTTTACAAAATGCTCTTTTTATAATTTCCATGTTAGAAATTCCTACTGAGTAGGAACTAAGATTATACTTATACCAGAAACCACCCAAAACTCATCCTTACCTTCAGTGAAGCTCCCTGTTAGGGTTATTACCACAAATACCTTCCCTTCTGGCTCCAGATCCACCTAGAAAGAGAAAAGAATTATGGGTTATATTATAATTTTAAAGTACTTTTTGTGGGCCTCAAATAATGCTTTACAAAGAGGCCTAGCTGTGCAAATCACAGCCATCAATCAGATCTAAGTCTTCCATTCAATAGCAGAGGGTCAAGAAACAAGTGAAAACACAAGAAACTGTAAAGGTGGAAAAGCAAGTCTAAGGAAAACAGTTCTTTCAATGTTTCCCCTTGTCTTGAATTTTATTCTCTTCCATTTCGGCTCTTTGTGATATTATTGAGAAGCACCTGTAAACTTGGTCATTGTTCCTGAGATATCCCTATCCTACGTCAGAGCAACATTTTATTAAACCACATGGTAGGTAGGGGCTCCCGGGTGGCTCAGCTGGTTAAGCATCCGACTCTTGATTTCGGCTCAGGTCACGATCTCAGGGTCGAGGGATTCAGTCCCTTGGGCTCCATGCTCAGCAGGAAATCTACTTGAGATTCTCTCTCTCTCTCTCTCTCTCTCTCCTTTTCCCTCTGCCTCTCTCCCCTTTCTTTCTCTCTCTCTCTCAAATAAGTAAATCTTATAATCTTTTTTTTTTTAATTTTTTTTTTTTTTTTTAAGATTTTACTTATTTGCGAGAGAGAGAATGAGAGACAGAGAGCATGAGAGGGAGGAGGGTTAGAGGGAGAGGCAGACCTCCTGCTGAGCAGGGAGCCCGATGTGGGACTCGATCCCGGGACTCCAGGATCATGACC